GACACTTGCCTGCTAACCAGATGGCTGGCGGTTCAAACCCACCAGCCACTCCTCGGAAGGAAGGTTGGGCAATCCTACTTCTGTAGTGATACTGCCTCGGAAACCCAAGGAGGGGTCGCTATGAGTCGGGGCCGACTCAACGGCACATAACAACAACAACAGGGCTTGGCACCCTGCTATTCTTAAAAGCTACTTCATTGTAGAAAGGGTTTCTGGGGAACAATTGAAGGGGCCTGTGTCCTTTAGGTGAGTCAGTCACATTCCACAGCAATTTGGAAGAAGGCTCCAAGTGTTTGGACCCACAGCCAATGGGACAAGCCCTCTCCAAGCCTCTTTCTTTAAGACATGGCGTACCCTGGACCATTTCAACCAAGTACAAGGTTGCATCTAGAAATATCTAATAATAATAACAATGGACAGGGTGCTAAAAACTTCATAGCTATAATCTTATTTAGCCCTCATGACAGTTTTATGAAGAGGGTAATATTATTGTACTCAGTTTACAGCTGAGGAAACAAAGAGTAACTTGCCCAAGGTCATGCAGCTAATAAGTAGCAAAGCTAGCATCTAACTCTAGGATTTGAACCCAAAAGGTTTGGCTTTAGAACCCTTCCATCTACAGTGGCAGTGCTTCCTCTATTCACTCATCTAATGCATGTTACTACTGAGCACCTACTGGCTGGTTGGTGCCATACTGAACTGGAGGCTGCAAGCAGTCCCTGCCCCTCTGCTCCTTGGTGTTTCTGGAGCAGTGGACACATATGGACTATACCACCTGGCATTGGATCACACTGTCCTGTGGGCATTCCTCGGTCCATGTTGACCCACTCCCTAAGGTCTTCATCTAAATGCTGGCCACAGCATCTCACAGGGACCATTGTTGTGGATTGCTGCCATTGAGCTGGACCCCAATTCACGGTGACCCATTGTGCCATAGAATGAAAGGCTAGCATCCCATGATGGTGTGCCACCTCCCTGAGTTTGCACAGTGAATAGCGAGCACAATTGGTGCTGGAACTCAGAGCTCACTGTGACCACCTCATGTCAGGAACTGAGGGAGGATCATGCCTCCCAAAGGGACCCTGCTGGCACAGCATTGGGCCCACCAGGCACTCCATGGGAAAAAAGATGTGGCAGTCTGCTTCCATGTAAAGAGCACAGCCTTGGAAATCTTGTGGGGCAGCTCTGCTCTGTCCTGTCAGAGCGCTGGGAGTCAGAATCTACTCAACAGCAGCAGGGACTCCCAAATGACAAAGCAGCCCAAGCAAAAAACAAACTCACTGCCACCAAGTTGATTTTGATTCATAGTGACCCCCATTGAGTTTCCAAGGCTGTAAATCTTTACGGAAGCCGACTGGTGGGTTCAATCCACTGACATTTTGGTTAGCAGCCAAATGCCTTACCCACTACACCACCAGAGCTCCTTGGCAAAGCAGCCTGAGGACACTCAATCCAACGCCACTGGTCCCCTGGTCCCCGTACCCTACCCTTCTCCCATGACTGAACCTTCCGTCCACTTCTGCACTGTCCCTGGGTTTTAGGCCCACCCAGTGCCTGGTGTGGGAGGAGGACTTGACAAGTTCCTTCATACAATACCTGTGCCCAGAATATGCCCTTGAGCTTTACTGCTTCTGGCTCCACTCATCTTGGCCCTTACTCCTTGACCAAGGCCCTTGCCCCAGCGCTGAGCTGAGCACAAAGGAGCAAAGCATTTTGACACACGACAGAGTGACCAGCCACTGTGCTGTCTTGCACGGTTGTGCAAGAACTTCCTTCTTCTTCATGGAAAGGAATGAGGATAGAACTAAGACAAGACACAGCTTCCTCCCATGCAGATGGGCACACACCCCAGCTCTGAATAATTTCCTCATTTGAACACAGTGGTTTGGGGCCTCGGTTCAGCCTTCAGGTTTCTAATTGAAACCAGTGAAACCCACAATTAATGCAAACAGGTAGGTCTAGGTGATTAAATGCTATATGCCTGACTTGGAGCTGGGTGCTTCAAAACATCATTCTAATTCTCAAGACAGCACTAGGGGTGGGATTGTCTTCATTTTTGTATGGGAGGAACCTGAGGGTCAGAGAGAGTAAGTGACTGGCCCAAAGCCACACAGCTGGGGAGTGGAGGAGATGTGATCCAAGCCTGGAGTTGCTGGCTCTAGGGCCCTTGCTCCTTGCACTGAGACCTGCTGGCCCCTCTTAGCCAGCATCCACTTTGCTTCCAAAAACCCATCCACAACTTACAGTAGAGCACCTTGCAGATGACAGATCATTTTCACACTGCTTCACTCACTTCATCCTCATGAGAAATAAAGAAGGGCCTGCGTCAATATCATCAGACCCATTTTAAAGATCTGAGTCTCAGGGAGGGGCAGATGTCTTTTCTCAGGCCCCTCAACAATTGGCAGTTAGGACTCAAACCCTAAACTTTGATCCCACACTCAATGCTCTTCTCCACTGGACCGAGCACCCAGAAGGCAGGCTTTCCATCCTGCTGTTTGACTGAGGTGCCTCCCTGTAGTCTTGTCCTTAGAAGAGGTCATGGTCGTGGTTAAGTTATAGCTGGGGGAAAGGGTCTGACATTTGCCATCAGTCAGACCTGGGGTCAGTCCCGGCTTATGCCCCTATCTGTGTGACCCAAAGTGATGTGTTTAGAGTCTCTGAACCTTAGAATAAAGGTATATCAAGTGGGATAACCTGATGCCTACTTCACATGGTTATTCTGAAGCTTCAGTGAGACACAGACGTGAAATGTTTGGCACAAAGTTTGGAGACATGTTGGAGGTCACTGTTTTAGCTCTTTTGTTGATGTTACAAAATATTCTAACACTCAGAAAAGAATAGAGTAATACAATGCATGTTTTGCCCCAAACTATGGGTATTGGCTCATTAGAAAACCAAATTCACTGCCATTGAGTAGAGTCTGACTCATAGCAGCCCCCGTTGGGGTTTCCAAGGTTGTAATTCTTTACAAGAGCAGACTGCCTCATCTTTCTCCCTCAGAGCCACTAGGGGGCTTGAACCCCCAATCTTTTGGTTAGCAACCAAATGCTTTAACCACTATAGCACCAGAATTCCTTACTGACTCATTACTAGGTTGTAAAATCAGCATAATGGATTGCAGGCAAGTGTTTCCAGACTAGACCACATTCGACTGGAATAGAAGTTCTGGGATGTATTGTATGTGGTGAAACTGAGCATGTCTGTGGGTGTTATTTCAGGAGTGTGTTCATCCACATGCACCCATGTATGTGTAAATTACCTGTCTTAGGAGCTCTGGTGGCATAGTGGATAAGGCACTTGACTGCTACGAGGAAGGTCAGTGGTTTAAACCCACCAGCTGCTTCACAGAAGGAAGACTGGGCAGTCTACTTCCGTAAAGACTTACAGCCTTGGAAACCCAATAGGGGTCACTATGAGTCGGAAACGACTCGATGGCAGTGAGTTTGGTTTTGGTTTTTATTGCAGACTGTGGGTAAAAATATCCGCAGGTCACTAGAATACAACCCATGTCTTCACTCTTCAGATTTAACAGACATTAATGTGCCGTGTTTGCCTCAGACTTTTTCCCAGGAAATCAAACAGTATGGATAGAAGAAAAACGTCTCCTGGTCGAGCCCTGGCTCCCCAGTGCTGGTGTGCAGTTGCCTGCGGACCTGCTGTGGTCAGTTATTCCGTGGCTGTGGCCCAGGCTTTTTGTAGGAGGTCAGCCAGCAGCATCAGCTCTGGCCCCAGGGTCGGCTGGTAGACGTCTAAGCTGTCCACCCGGGAGGGGCTACTGACTGAATTCCACTCACAGGCCCTGCATGGTTGGGAATGTTTAGAGAACCAATGTAAACATGCCAGCGCCCGCGATTAAGCACATCTCCCAGTTTACGTAAGATTCTAGAAATATGTAAACACACAGCGTGGGCCTTGCGAGGGCTGAACGCGGAGTCTAAGCCTTCTGCTCTGGAGCTGCCTGTAGGTGCTCTGCTGGGCCTGGTCCTCGGAGCCGAGGAAGCTGAGGCCTCGGGAGGGGCGTGGTACGCTCTAGGTGCAGCAGCCGGAAGTCACTGGGGTGACGGTGGGAGGGAGTGAGTGCATGAATGGCGTGCCCATCTGGACCCTGCCGTCCAGACAGCTGCACGTCCTTCCTGACCGTCTACCGCTCTTTCCTTCATGGCTCCTGCCCCCAGTGAACTGCCCATTCTTCGCTTATTTTCCATCTCCGCCCACTGGAACGAGCAGCATACTCCCGCTGGTTCCCCGGCCTGGCGAGCAGTTGGCCCGAATGGAGACTGTGTGTAGCAGTGTAGAAGTGGACATAAAAACGTCATGTGCTGAATGACTGAGTCAGAGAATGCAGCTCTCCTAACAAAACCAGGTCGTGGCCACCCACGAGCCGTTTGAGACAGCACCCCACGTAGAGGGAGTGACGGCAGGCACAGGAACCGGTATCAGTTGGCTATCATTTTGGAGCACTTACTAAGTGCTGGGCATCCTTTTAAGTAGTTCACATGCAATAGGCCCTTTGGTCCTTACAAGATGCCCTGTGGAGTCCCGGGTGATACAAACAGTAATGCACTAACTGCTAACCTGAAGGTTGGGGTTTGAATCTGCCCAGAGGGACCTTGGCAGAAGCCTGATGATGTACTTTGGAAAACCCAGCCGCTGAAACCTCTGTGGAGCACAGTTCTACCACGGTATCCATGAGGTCACTCTCGGTTACTGTGCTGATACCTGGTGCTGGCTTTTAATAACCTATGCAGAGGGTCCCCGTACTGTCCCCATTGTTCAGACAGGAAACTGAGGCAGAGAGAGCTGAGCAGCTTGCTTAAGGCAAGCCAGTTAGAGCTGGGGTTCAGACCCAGGCAGTCTGCCTCCAGCACCTTGTGCTTAACACCATGCCCACCCCTGCCTCAAGCTCCCAGAGAGAAAATTCTAGGTCAAGGATTTGAGTCATGCTGACTTGGGCCTTCTAGAATCTGACTGGGGAACTGGGGGTATCTCTCTTTCAGCAATTTGAAGAAAGTCAGGGTAGGACCAGCAGCAAAACGGCCTTCTACCAGGCACTGCAGAACTCCCTGGGTGGCGAGGATGCGGACCCCAGCGTGGTGGCTGCCGCGACGTGGTATTACTCCCTGGAGCACTCCGTGGACGATTACGCCTCCTTCTCCCGGGCCCTGGAGAACGCCACCCGGTGAGCAGCAGAGGGTGGGGTCCTCGGCCGCCTGGTGAGAGTGCAGTTGGCCTTCAGACCATGAGCAAGGGGGTGGTTGAGGGACTCTGGCTTGTTTCCCACATCATCGTTTGCTCCTCTACGGAGTGTGGTGAACACTTGCCGGGGGATAGGTGGGGTAGGCCCTGCTGCCGGTTCTTCTCAGGATAGAGACGGCGTGCTTGCCAGAGGCACCCGCTGTGTTCAACTGGGGGAACTCAGCAAAGCGTATGTGAACTTAGGGCCCTCACCCCATGGGGGAATCCACGGACAGCAGCCACTACGACCCTCACGCTCGTCCTGCCCTGGTTTCAACACCGCTGCACCCGGCCGAGCAGAGGCTTTAAAGCCGAGCCGGCTGCCGGGCCCAGCAGGCATCAGTACTGTTTTAGAGTTCCTAGGTCCAGCCAGGGTTTGCTTTGCACCGAGGGAAAGCGAGGCCTGAACAGGGGGACAGACCCAGGCTCCTGACATGGCTTCTTCCGAGGGGCTGTTTCCTCCACTCACATGCACGCGGCCCCTTACTGCTCCAGCTTCTCTTACTCGGGGAAGCCACCCTAGACCCTCCAGAAGAGGTCAAAGGCAGCCCCCCAGGCTGTGCTGTGGGCAGAGTGTTCCTCTCCCAGCACCGACCCCACCCACACTGCAGTGCCAGGACTCAGTGCCCACCAGCGCTCCGTGACACCCCTGGGCCGAGAGCTGTGCGCTCCACGCGTTCACGGCAGGTCCTCCAGAAACAACCAGAGTTCAGTTCTCTCCTCCTAAGAGCCTGGGGCTGAGACTGCCTTGGGACTCCAACTCTCATGTCACCATTGAACCCCTCACAGGCCCAACGACATGCTCTCAAGTCCCTCTGCAAGGCTTCCTTTCTGAGTAGGAAGAACGTGGCTGGGGGTTTCAGCACCCTGTGACCTCTGTTTTCTCTCCCTTTGGGAGGTCCACGTTTCATCTAGTCTCTGGGGACAGAGCCACATGTCAGGACTCAGATGGCTTTTCTGTCCTGAGCTCTGCTGGGAAGGGGAGGGCAGGAAGGGGCTAGAGATCAACCTCCTTGCCTGGAACCTACACGAGGAGGCTGTGGTTTCCAGCCCAAGCACTGGTAGCTCAGCCCACTTGGGTCTTGGGGACAAGCAAGGCTTTGATCTTCCTTCTAATGAAGAGCTCAGCTTCCAACCAAACTGCTAACAGCTGTTTACAGAGGCCCAGCCCTCGGCTTGACCCTGTGAACTCACAGATGTCTGAGGCCCTGGCCCTGAGATGCTTGTCCATCGGTCCGGACTGGCTCAGCATGGCACCGTAGCGCAAACTCAGAAAACCTGAAGTGGCTTTGAGGATGACCTGTGTGCTGTGGTGGGGCTTGGGTCCGATGAGTAGGTAACCCAAGAAGGCGTCATGAAGGAGGCAGACTGTCTCCTGCCCACACTCGGTCCCCGTAGTCTCCTGTCTGATCCCACCCCTGTCACACTCACAACTCCTCAGGGAACCAAAGGTGAAATCCAGCTCCTCCCACTGCCCTTTTGGGCCCCCGTGGCTGACCCCATCCTGCCTTGTAGCCTTCTCTGTAAACATTTGGGCCATCTGCAGGGGCCTTAAATCACCTTCAGAAAAGGGTGGCTGAAGCTCCTTAGTGACGTTTGTACCTGTGGTCAGTCTTGGTCACTACGATACTTAGCAGAGTGGGGCCCATTGTCCCCACGTGTCAGCTGGGGGATGAGATTCAAGGACACGGAGGGGCTACAGCAATGCACCTGATTCGGCAGTGCAAGTGGGATTCAAACCCTGGCAGCTGAGGTCAGGCAAGTCCCCCTGTTCTAGCCCAGGCCTGCCACTCTGTAAGTGCACGCACTTGGCGTCACAACACGCTGTCTCCCTGCAGTAAGGCAGCACTTCTGTATTTAGTCACCAGGTTACCCCTATTGGGGGAGCAACATGAAATTCTAGACACCCGAGGCAGCCTTCCTCAAATTCAGCCCTGCTGGCATTTGGGGCCACGTGGTTCTCTGTTGTGGGGTGTCCTGTCCATTGTGGGATGCCTGGCAGCATCTATCGCCTCCACCAACAGGGTATCGGTAGAAACCCCCCAGTTCTCCACCAGCCAATCAGAAACATCTCAAGGCTGGCAGGGGTGGGGGGTGGTAAACTCAGCCCCATGGAGGTTCACCGGCCTGAGGGCTCCGTGTGCGTGAAATGCCCCTGCAGTCTCTGTCTTCCTTGAAAATGCACACTCGTTTTATGTTCTGCTCCAGAGAATATCTGTACTTATGAAATGCCTTGCTCTTAAATCTGTCAGTCAAACTGATGTTTTGGGAAGCTGTTTACCCTGGGAGTGTCTTGACCCTAAAAGGTCTGCTGTGAACACCCATCAGTGATTGTGGCCAGCCTCATACCAGAGTGGACAAAGGCCTCCAACCAGGCCCACCGTCTGGTCACCTGGGGGTGGTGCTGCCACTGGAGAGATGTCCTGGGCAATGCAGGGAGGGCCTGGGTGGCCAAAGGGCCCCTAGCCTGGGGACAGCCTTCAGCCGGCACAGTTGTCCATAGAGCTTTGTGTAACTAGACTCCTTTTCCTCATCCTCCCCTCGCCAGGGACTACTTCATCATCTGCCCTGTGATCGACATGGCGAGGCACTGGGCAAGGCAGGCCCGAGGGACTGTCTTCATGTACTATGTTCCCCGAAGCTACGGGCACAGCAGGTAAGGGGCCACATGGGTATTGTCAAGCAATGGCACCTGCCAGCAGTCCCCATCACTACATCCATGACACGTGCCTCCCATGTGCAGATCCTGCAAGTTAGGTGACGTTTCACGAAAACACCGGCATCCATGTGAGGTCGGCAAGGTGGGAGTGAATATGCTACTTTACATACGAGGAGTCTGAGGCCCAAGCAGTTCCTCACGATGCCCCAAGGACAAAGCAGTGCCTGTGTCTGGCTTGGGTGGGCATGAAAAGAGACCTTGGCATCCAGCGGTCTGTGGCCACCCACGGCCAGGGCGGCTGCTGGAGAGCTGGGCCGAGAACAGCCCTTGGCAGCTTCTCCCAAATGCCAGGCTCTCAAGAACCCATACTCAACACGCTCGCTCTGCCTTCTGGTTCCCTACCCTCCTCCCTTCTAGGACGGAGGTTTTAGCAAGGGTGGAATATGCCTGCAGCGAGCCCATCAACAGCCTCACAAGTGTGCGTTCACCTTTGTTGTCATTGTTGCTGTTGGCGACCGTTGAGTAGACCCTGTTCATGGTGACACCGGGCGTAGCCCCAGCCATCACCGGTCCCGTGCCATCTCCATGGTCAGCTGTGGATTGAACTCTTGGGATCTGAAGGGTTTTCTTTTTCTTTTTAAAAAATGACATTTTAGGGAGCAAGAGGCAGAGCTGAAGCCCAAGGTCGAGGGGCTTTCACACAGCACCTAGAGCCTGGCACTTTGAACTTGGACTTAAAGCCTCCAGACTGTAAGAGAATAAACTCCTGTTTGTTAAGGCCAAAACAACAACAACAATAACAACATCAGCATTTTACTGTGTTTTAAGTGAAGGTGGAGATAGATGCTTAATTTCCCAGCCAGTGATTTGTTCTGTGCCCTTAGTTACCTTCTTCATGATGCCACAATACATGGGTGTTTGGTGTTTCTGCTCTGGTGGTTCTGCATGGGGTTTCCATTGACTGATGTTTTGGACGTAGATTGCCAGGCCTTTCTTCCTAGTCTGCCTTAGTCTAGAAGCTCTGCTGAAGCCTTTTCACACAAGAGGACGGGCAGGTGCTGGCTGTGTATGAGCCTTGTCTGGGAATCAGACATGGGTCTCTCACAGAGAAGGCGAGAACTCTTCCACTGAACCAGCAGAGCCCCCACACACTCAGGTAGACCCACGTTCTCATTAAATCCAAACTCACTGCTGTCGAGTCGATTTGACTCGTAGCAACCCCTCCTTAGGTTTTTGAGACGGTATTTCTACAGAAGTAGATTGCCCAGTCTTCTTTCTGAGGAGTGGCTGGTGGGTTTGAACTGACAGCCTTCTGATTAGCAGTCAAATGCCTTAAGCACTATGCCTCCAGAACTCCTATGCATACTGATACATACATACATACTCATTGGCCATGGCAAAAAAGAAGCTATACAATCACTATGTTGTTGTTGTTAGGTGTTGTCGAGTCGGACCCGACTCATAGTGACCCCTCCTAGGGTTTCCGAGGCAGTATCACTACGGAAGTAGATTGCCCCATCTTCCTTCTGAGGAGTGGCTGGTGGGTTTGAACTGCCAGCCTTCTGCTTAGCAGTCAAGTGCCTTAGCCACTATGCTACCTATGTGAGGGCAAAAACAACGAAACGAAACAGAGGCCACCAGGATGACCAGTGCTATAGCCCTGGCCTCCCTTGTGAAGTGACAGGCCTGCCAGGGAGCTGCGGAGGGGCAGGACCTGGTGGTCTGTTTGGGACCTGAGATTGGGGTAGTCCTCAAGAAGCCGTTGTTGGACAGAATCGGAATTGCACTGTCTCTCATGGCCACTTTGGAGTTCTCTATTGCCAAGGAAACTCTGTGCCCCTGTGAGATCCAGGACACTTTACCATAAAGGAAGCCCTTTGTGCATCAGACGCTCAGAAAGTGCCCTGGAATCGTCTCGGCCCTCTGGCCCTCAGAGCCCAGGGAGCTTCCTTGCACACAGCTGCTCAGAAATTGTACTGATTATTCAAACCACCCCGCTCTGATTGACAGATGGAGAAGTTTAAGCTGGAGTAGAAAGTGGTCTGTTAGGGATCACACTATATCCCTCCAAAAGAGGTGTTCCAGCCCCACCCACTGCAGCTGGGAACACGACCTTGTTTGGAATAGGGTCTTTGAAAATGCTGTCAGTTAAGATGACATGAGGTCCCAGTGCACGCAGTAGGGTGGTTCTACTCCCCTCTGAACAGTGTCCTCAAAGAAAACACCAGAAAGACACACAGAGGGAAGATGACCATGTGACCAGGGTTGACATTATGCAGCTGCAAGCCCGGGGCGTCCAGAGCCACGAGCAGCTGAGAGAGACAAGAAGGCATCTTCCTCTAGAGCCTTCAGAGAGCGAGCCTGGCCTGCCGACAGCCTGAATGCAGACCCCTCACCTCCAGACAGCACAGGTCCGTTTTCCTAAGCACCGTGTGTGGCATTTGGCTGCAGCAGCCTAGGAAACAGTACACGCTGCGTGGAGCTTTGTTTTGCCATCTGTGAGAGGGAGAGACAGGGTGGGGGGGGAGAGGCACTCCCACCGAGCTCCCATGAGGAGGGACAGGAGATGAGGGACTGACCGTCTCGGCCTCTTCGCTCCCTCTCCTAGACTGAGTGTCGAATAAAAATCCCTGTGATGAGCGGGTTGTGTAGGTCAGGGAGGTGTGAGAAAGGTCTGGGCTCAGTCCCGGTAGGGCACTTCCAGCTCTCGTGTTCTACTGTCTTTGGCGGAGAGGGACACTCAGTGCCGTGGAAACGTGTTTATAGGCAGTGATGCTGCTGCTTGTACGGCAGCAGAGTGTCACGGTTAAGAGAAGGGGCTCTGGCACCACCTGCTGTGGCTAGAGACCCACCTGGAGCCTTAGTGACTTGGTGACTAAGGCAAAGGACTTAGCCTCCTTTGTGACTCAGTTTCCTTATCTGAGCAGTGGGGTAATAACAGCCCCTACAGCAGAGGGTTATTGATTTGTGCATGGAGCGTTGCTGGCCGACAGTAAGGGCCAAGAGGAGCCTGTTACTCTTGTCCATCAGCAAGCTTTCTTATCCCTCAGGGGGTATGTTTCCTCTCTGGTCATGATCACAGCAAGGTGCCATCTCAGTCCCTGGGTGCCACAAACAGTTAAGCGCTCAGCTACTAGCTGCAAGGTTGACGGTTTGAACCCTCCCAGGGGACTCAGAAGAAAGGCCTGGTGATCTGCCTTTGCATCCCAGCCTCAACAAGGCCTGAGCAGCTCTGTTCCGCACATGGGGTCACCAGCAGTCGGAATCGGCTCAATGGCAACCAGCACTATAGGAGACGCTTGGATCAATGAATGGACCCCAGAAACAAGCCCATTTAACTTGCTGGCACCTTTGTCTTTTCTACCCGAAAAGACGTCTGTCTCACCCTGGAGCTGCCACACTCCTCATTTATTTCTGGCTGCAATCTACATACTTAAAATATATATGTGCAGTTGCATTTCCAGCCATCTGTCCTGCCCCTCCGTTTCTGCTAGCTCTCCTGGCGCTCACTGATGAATAAAACACAGTAAATTAGCACTTTCTTAGACTGTCGCTAATTGATCACAGAGCAGTGTGGCCCTCTACCTGCCCACCCTGGTTGTGTCTGTGACTTTCACTCCTAGAATCAAGGGCCACCTTCTTGTAGGGAAAGAATAGGAATAGTGTGTTGGGAGAATGGAGAAACAAATGACGAAGCTGTGGAGGGAATCTCTTGCTTGAATTGTGTTCTGTGTTTGGGTCCTTATTCCAAAGCTTTTCATCCCAGGGAGCTAGAATGCCATATCCACATCCCAATGGATGGAATGGCTTCTCTTGAATGGTGGGCAGAGTAGAACTCTTGGGCTTAACCACCCACCTGGATGTCTCATAAGATGCTGGAGTGGTGAATTTTGAGAGTGGCAGCTCTGGATAGTGGAAGAACACATCCTTTAGACTTAAACCAACTAGGGTTTCAATCCCATCTCTTCCATTTATAAGGTGTTCGCACTGGGCACGCTTTCTTACTTCAATTTTCTCACCTATCAAACAGGTGTAATTACATCTACTCTATAGTGTGTGCTAGGAGCTTTGGTAGCATAGTGCCTAAGGCACTTGACTGCTAACCAGAAGGCTGGTGGCTCAAACCCACCAGCCATTCCTTGGAAGGAAGGTTGGGCAATCTACTTGCATAGTGATACCGCCTCGGAAACCCAAGGAGGGGTCACTATAGTCGGGTCTGACTGGACAGCAGTGAGTTTGGTTTTTGGTTTATAGTGTGTGCTGAAGATTCAAGATCATGGATGTTAAACAATTGATACGTTGTAGATATCTGATATCCAGCAGCTATGATTATTTTTCCCTTTGGATGATAAGGCTCCAAGAGGATAAATACCAGGATAACTCCAGAGGCAGTGATGCTCTTCCTTTATAACATGTGTCAACCCTGCCAGGCAAAGCTATAAATTCTATACTCAAAACACTTTCATTCTAGACATTTCCATGCATCCCAGGGGACTTTCACATTCAAGATTCAAAGTACTATCTTTCTAGTTGACTGTCTTGGTGAGTTTGTTAGAACTAGCAAACCAAAGAAAATACTAAGTGGTTGAATTCTTGAATTGGGTCTACCAGCCTGGCTACAATCTGTGTCATTAGCAAGACTATTTCCCAATAAACCTAGAAATAAATCATTTTCTGAAACTGAACACTCCAATCCCATGACATGTTAGGGTTTATGCTATGTGTCCTCTTCATTTCTCTGGCAAATATTGACAGAATATCTTCCATGCCCAAGATGCTCCTTTAGGTGCTAGAGCTGGTACAGCCTGCAAGGTGGAGAAGACCCTGCTGTCCTGGGATGAACTCTGTAATGGGGGCTGGGCGTGATGGCTGTCCAGAGATAGTGTACGGGGAGAGACCATCCACATAGAAGCAAGCAGAGTGAGCTCAGATGGTGATGCTCAGAAGGAGGGACTCTAGGGCACTGTAGTTGGTGGTGAGTAGGACCAAAGGCTGCT